TCATCTCCTTGATATTATTTACTTAATATTAAGTAATCTCAGAAAAAATCATGAAGAGACTAAAAACGATTGAATTGTAAAAATTCCAGGATGGCGAACGTTTTTCAATCCTAGATATTATTTACAACAAAGATTACGATTGATTACCTGTTTTGATTTAAGGTGAATGGCAAACGATTGACCCAGCGCTTTCCGTCTGCCAATCGCTTTTTGTCCGAAAAATTTGATCAACTTTTTGTCCGCAAATTTTGCTTTTTGTTCCTTGCTTTTTCAGAAATTTTGGGTTTGTCCACAACGTTTGTTTTCTGTCCGTTGCTTTATGTCCGATTTGCTTTTTATCAAATTTTTTTCCCTTTTTTCCGACAAAAAAAACACTGTATTACGATATCTGTCGACAGCGCAACAGGAAATACTTATCCTTCCAGAAAACATTTTAAATTTTCGTTTGTATTGCTTAATCTGTTTTTTCTTCTGTAATATATTGTGGATTAATATTTGTCTTTTTCCTTAAACAAATGCATAGTCTGTTCCTCTTCATTTTTTTGTTTTTGAATGCACCTCTTCGTAGTACGAATATCTAATTTAGCAATTGAAAATATTTACAGTCAAACTGTATCATTTAAATCCTGTTAGGACAAAAAATAATGGCTTTTAGGCAGATTGCATCTTCGATTATTGTTAGATCGCCAACATCTGCACCGATCCAGTAATAGTTTTGTAATATTTTGGTACCGATTTCACGATCTTCTTTTCTGAAACATTCTCACAACGATATGCTCGATACCAAAAGTTTGAGAGGCCAAAAAAAGTCTAAAGATACCAATGTGAATAAAGTTCGACCAGTATAGCTAAAATCATCTGACGTCTGGATTTGCCACCTTAGTTTACCTGTCGGTAAACATTGTAAATTAAGGGAGATGTTGTGATAAGGCGCCTTTTTGGCCACTTGAATTTGAAAATCAAAACGTTTCGTAAATCTACCATATAACTACCCTTCTGATGTCGCTAAGACATTAGTCTGTTAGATACATTTATTTATTTTTTTAACTATTTTTTTAAGTATTTGCGTTAAGGGTTCGAGCTTCTTGAATTAAGTACCAAACTGCATCAACTCCAAAATTGCCTTATTTTGAGATGATTTTAAGTTACGGCTCTACCAAAAAAGTATTTTGCTACAATATGTATTTTACACAGGTGTGTAAACTATCTATTTGGATAAAGCTGTTGCTCATATCTCCTTTGTCTAGAAAAACAACGCTATGTGTAAAATGTTCATATAAGTTCAAAAGAGAGGCGAAAGATACCAAAGGGGAATTCAAACTCATAAGTCGAAAATAAACAGACAACGCCATGGCTAAAAAAGAAAAAGACCAACAGACAAACAATAGTACACAAAACACTACATAGAAAACTAAAGACTGAGCAACACGAACCCCAACAAAAACTGAGGGTGATCTCAGGTGCACCTGAAGGGTAAGTAGATCCTGCTCCACATGTGGCACCCGTCGTATTGCTCATGTACGTATAAACCCGGTAATAAGTCTAAATCGGTAGGTCACATTCGGGGGAAAAGGGGACGCGATTGTAGTTACGATATTTGGAACATATTCGCTATCATCTGTGAAAAGGGATATCCCATAACGGTCAACCAACTCGTAATGGCGTCCGTAAAATTTAAGAAGGGATGATTTTAACTTCACCACTTGGAACTCTTGGTTTCATAGCTTCCTTATGAGCAGCAACCCTCTATCAGGGAAATCATGATAGGAAATACAAGCCCTGGAATATCGTATCAACTGGGAGATATATACTCCGTATGCAGGCGCTGCTGGAATGTTGCTACAATTGGGAAGCTGAAATCAAATATATATGTCAATTCTAACATATTTATGACATCACACATGGCCTTTCTGCACAAAGTATCCAGATTATACTAACTTGTTCATTTAATATAGATCTTTCTTGGGGGTTAATAAATAATTGAATCAACTGATATCAAAAGTCAACCATTGTTTTATAACATGACTTCTTTTTTATCTTTCTCAAATTTTCTAGTACTGAAGATATTTAACTGCCCCTTGTTTTTGTACGAAATTATCATCTGCTTTGGCAGTTGCTCACTTTTGTATGTTGAAATATTCAACAAAATGTGCTAAAAAATTACAATGAAAACTAGAAGAAAAATGAGAGTTTGCATGACGAAATAAGCATACGTCTTTGACGTTACCTTGGAAGAGCTATATTTAGGTACACGTTAGTCGTACCAAATCTTATATTTACCTCTGATGAATTTTTTTCGCGGTGAATATAATGTTTTATCAAGGGAGATTAACTTTGTTTTTAGCCAATGAGAAAAAAAGAATTTTTATAGTCATATGATAACATCGATTCATATGTGTAATAGATATTGTACCTAATTCAGCACAACAGTCTTTCTGGTATAACAATCACCAAGAAAATTCTGAATTAAAATTTTAGGTAGCCAAAAATACATTCTTATGTCCATATGTTCACGCTGAGCTATAGCTATAGAGACCTTGTAAGCGAAGCAGGGACACATGATATGTATTTTAATCAGATTGCCTTCAATTTTTGAGAGCATACATATCAAAATGTTCTAAACAGAATATCCCAGTCATTCTTAGATAAAACTTGCCTGATGTAGTTAAAACCTTAGTTTTGATAGCATTACGTAATTTATTTTCCGGAAATTTAAAGCTTAGTCTGTCAACATCAAAGTAACAACATTGATATGATTTTGATATTGATTTACTTCGACATCAAGTTGTACACCTGATAACATTTTATTTCGAAAAAAATAGGCTCAGTAGTCCTTACATTCTTCACTCTTTGAGAGAAAGCCTGTCTAAAGGGTAATAAGTGATACCATAAAAATTGTAATAATAATAATATTAAAATTATAATATTTTACCAAGCATTGGTGATCACTTCATGTCGATAGTGACACCATTTCGTTATTCTATTTCAGTGATGATAATATTCTCGCATAAGGGTTGTTTAGTATTATTTGAAATTAAATGTCAAGAGTTTTCCAATTCTTTCTTGTTATGAAAATCCTATAAATCTTTTTCGAGTATTACTTTGTATTATGCCAAATATTTGTATTATCCAAAATATTACAAAGTAATACTTGAAAAAGATTTATAATTTTTTTTTTACAGATTTCAATATTTTCAAACCTTCTGTGGATTTTTGCGTTCATAATAATACTTTATTCAAATATAATAACAGCTTATATAATATAGAGATATAATGATAATAACTTTATGTGCACCAATAGAAATTTTACAAAACATTCTTTAGATTAACAATATATGAATAATTTAGTGTAAATAAAATTCTATACGATACACAATACAAGCGGAGAATGGTATACTGTAATGAAAATGGTTTATGATTAGATACAATTCAATCCGATTTTTTTTTCTGCTGATTTAAAAAATATACCCAAATTATATAATTTATAAATATTTGTGGCAGATATCAATTGAACTTGTTTGTTCTCTATTCATAATGTTTTTCATCATTTTGGTCAACACATTTCATCCTAGCAGTTCTTTGATACATTAATTTACTGTATATAATGTTTTCAACCAAAATTTCAACTTCTAACACTGATTTTGAAAATACATAAAAAATCTATCCAATGCACAATAATTCATATTAATAACCGTACTCATTTAAACATTAGAACGGCGGAGGCCGTTTTAGCGCATCAATAGGATATTTTAGCGAAAAAATCGGACGTTTAAGCGCTAGCGTATAACCAATTTTAGCGCCAGATTTCAGTTAACCGATTTGATTGAAAAGGGAGATTATCAATAAACTAGAGAATGGAAACGGGGAATGCGTCAAAGAGACAACAACCAGACCAAAGAGCAGAAAACAGCCCTAAGGCCACCAATGGGTCTTCAACACAGCGAGAAAATCAATGCCAAATGTAGCAAATGTTAAAGAAATTAATTATAGCAGAAAAAATAAAATTAATTTGTAACAAGACAGCACAATATAAAAAAAATATCATGTCCATTAAAATACAGCATTTTCAAAATATCAAAAAGTAAACAAGTCCGTTCTAGCCTGGAATGTATATCCCAGCGAACGTACAATATGATCTCTTGGAATGTTGTTAATTAAATTTTGAACGCGTCTTTTCCATCTCCTTAACTTGTCTTATCTTGTCTAGATTAAGGTGCAGATTCATCGATATGTCTTGTTTTAATATATGTTATTGTTTGTTATTTGATGATAATACCCAGAAAAACAAACTCGTATTACTTTTTTATTTTCAGTTCATTTCAATAGGATTTCTTTCTTTCTTTAAACCAAATTGTAAATGCAAACAACCATTATAAATTATAGATTAAGTGTGGTGAGTATTATTCAACCAGTTAAGTTTTCGCTAAAATGGGACTAAATGGATTACAGGTGAACGGATAAATTCAGCGTTTGAATTGTCTATTATGTTCTCGAGTTATTTTAAATTTTTAGCCTAAATGTCCTGCGCCCCATTAGAAATACACATCAAAGAATTCTAATTAATGTTCTCAATAGTTGATGCCTTATGAAATCCCCATACTTCAGAGCAGTAATCCAATATGCTCAATTATTATCAAATAGAGAGAACAAAGTTTCATGTTTATGATAATCATTTACCATTTACCATTTATATGCCATATCATTCCACTTTTCAATATCCAGATTTATTTAAATTTTGCTACTCAGGATATCAATCAATATAAGTGTTTTCCTATTATCAGATTGAAAGAAATTTCAGCACAAATTCGCAAATAACAGTTTTTCACTCAATTAATTGTCATTGTTAGTTTCTTTGAAAAATAAAAAGCAATATCTCAGATAGCTCTTAAACGTAAGTAAAACATGAAAGAAAATACAATGTATAATAGTTGAAGAATAAAATAAAAACTGTAGTTATACTGTGCTTATCCTTTTCTTAATTTGACGCAAGTGACAATAAATAAAAATGAAATAACGCCACTTTATTAAAATCATTTCTGTCAGAAATGAATAAATGTTGCAAGACTTTATGCATAATAGCAGTATTCCATTTGGATATTCCTGCCTCCACTTATAGATGGATAGCTTCCGGCCCAGCTGTTTTTGTTATCTTTATCTTCGTCGTCGGTCTTTATATATTCATTGCGGACAGTCATTCCTTTCACCTGCTGACAAGTGCTTGATTTTCTCACAAGATAGAATGGCTTAGATGTGGGAAGTTCTATTGCAGTATTAGACGGTCCATCAGATCTGAGAATGAATAAAAAATCATATTAATATGACAATAAAATGTCAACAAATATATATCTTTGAAAAACATATTCTTTGACTAATCATAAGTAAACTTTTAGCTTCGTTGGCTTATTATAAGTTTAACATTTAGCTTCGTTGACTAATTATAAGTTATCTTGTAGCTTTATTGACTAAATATAAGTTAACTTGTAGCTTCGTTGATTATTTATAAGGTAACTTCAAGCTTATTTTTATCACATGCTAGACAGGTTACCTGCAACAGTATTGTATCAATGTGTTTCTGTCATACTGTCCATCAGGCAAAGTTCCAGCAAAATTATTTTCATTATTAGAATCTTCGTCATCCCAATGTACATGTCCGTTTGCAAATCCTAAATGTTGTTTAAAAGAAAAGAATTGTTATTACATAAACAGCAATTCCTAGATTATCAACACTATTTGTGAACATTGAATGATGTGTTATTTTAATTTTGTTTAAACCTTTTTTTATAGGTATGAGATAAATGTTTTGATAATATATAAGAGAGAGAGAGAGAGAGAGAGAGAGAGAGAGAGAGAGAGAGAGAGAGATCGTGCATTAAATTTATTTGTCTAGTAAGTCATATATTATATATATGTTTATAATATTTTTTACACTTTCATTTAAATTACAATAGTAGTAAAATGCTATTTCTCATATATATTTATACAGGCTAACATTAATGTTTGTCATACATTGATTTAAAAAAAAAACAAGAAACAATTTTCCCCACCAAATTAAACGTTCTTATTTAAAAAATGCATGTATCTAAAAAAATAAAGAAGCTCATGGACATACATCTGTTTTTCTATAACTTGATGCACTTTGCATTAGCTATTGAAAACAAACGTTGTGAATAAGTTGTTGTCTGAATTTCAGCAGTACACATACTTAATAAAACAATAAGAAAATATGATATGATTGCCAATAAGACAACTCTCCACAAGAGACCAAAATGACGTAGAAGTCATGGGAACTATAGGTCACCGTACGACTTAAACAATGAGCAAAACACATACCGCATACAATAAGCTATAAAAAGCCCCGAAATGACAAATGTAAAACAATTCAAACGAGAGAACTAACGGCCTGATTTATGTACAAACCAATAAACGAAAAAAAAAAAATAATAATATACAGCAACAAACGACAACACTGAATTACAGGCTCCTGACTTTGGACAGGCACATAGAGAATGTGGCAGGGTTGAACATGTTTGCTGGCGCCAAACCCTCTTCCTAACCTGGACAGTAATGAAACGGAACAGCATATAAACAAACTAAAAATCAGTTGAAAAGGGCCTAACTCATTGGATCGATATAAAGAAAAAAAAAAAAAAAAACTAATAAAAACACAAAAGACACAAAGTACAAATTTGAGAGTACTCGCAGTAACTGAAAGCTAGTGCAAAGTCTATAACAACTAATAAGAAATCATGTATCTAAGACGAAAGATTTATTCAAATTTATATTTCAGCGGATGAAGAGAAATATTGAAAAAGTAATCATCAGCTCATCTTCAGTTAACATATTTCCGTTTATTTGACTTAGCGAAGAAAAAACAATAACAAACACGTCCTGTCTGTGTCTGATATATCTAACACCGGATTAAAGATAGTGTCCATTTTCCTGTTTGTTTAAAAGCTACATAACACTTGAAAAATAAATTATAAACGCAGTTGACCAATCTTCAACAGGGCAACCGAACTAATTTAGTAGATTTACATATACTATAAATTTTCGTTATTTCTTGCACTATGAACTTTTATACATTTTCTATATAAGGAAATGCCTGTACCAAGTCAGGAATATGACAATTGTTTATCCATTTGATTGATCTGTTTGAGCTTTTGATTTTTACATTTGTTAAGGGACTTTCCGTTTTGAATTTGCCTTGGAGTTTGATATTTTTGTTATTTTACTTTTAATACACGTATGTGTCTTTTGTAAATATCAGTTTTATTTCACCAATTTTTACCAAATTTCATTTGTTATCTTTTCCTTTCAACTGGCGTTCGTCGTATGTCCGTCTGTATACTTACACACCAAACGTTTCTTATGATTTACGCTGATTAATTTGAAACAAATATTACAGAAATCTTACTGGGAAGTATAATATGCTGCTTTCTGAACTACACCGATGAAGATCTGCTTACAATTCCGGAGCACTTGAGACCATCCCGGGTTTTGGTGGGGCTAGTGTTGCTCAGTCTTTAGTTGTCGATGTTGTGTTTTGTGTATGGATGTTTGTATTTTTTGTCGTTTTTCGTTTATTGCCATGGCATTGTCAGTTTGTGTTCGACTCATGCATTCGAATGTTCCTTTGATATCTTTCGTTTCTCTTATATAACATTGGTTTTACCTCTAACTGATTTCATGTAAAATGAGCTTCGACAGGAGAGTTTAGGTAACGTTTGAACAAGCAAAAAATATGAATTACTTCTTGTCCTGATAACAAAATATGAATTAGATCTTGGTCTCAGAGAAAAATATGTATTGATATGAAAATAAGGAGATGTGGTATGATTGCCAATAAGACAACTATCCACCAAAGTTCAAATGAAGAGGATGTAAGGCAACCGTACGGCCTTCAAGAATGAGAAAAACCCACACCGTATAGGCGGTCATAAAAGGCACCGAAATGAAAAATATGACACAATTCAATTAAGAAAACTAACGGCCTAATTTATAACAGAACAATTTCTGAGAGGAACTGTGTATCAGCTCTTTTTATGAAAGGCAATTATGTATCGAATCTTGTTCTGAGAGGAAAATATGTATTATAAATCTTGTTCTGATAGAAAAATATGTATTTAGATATGAAAACTACGCGTTATGAATCTTATGCGTACGAAGTGCTTTTCTGGATTTACCTTCATGCTCAATGACAAGAGAGAGAGAGAGAGAGAGAGAGAGAGAGAGAGATTATGCAGAAGCTTGGCTTGGTGTTATGAAACTTTCGTGAAATAGAAGGATTTGGTATAATATAACCAATTCGTAACTGTTTTTCGGAAGGTACTTAAATGGTTAGCCCTTGTCTGAAACGTGTCTCGTTTTTAACAAAGTGTCACACCTTCACAATAGCAGGTGCACAATAGCATATTAAAATCTCTACAATGACTAACATACCTAGTTGTTGTGATTAAGTAACAAAAATAAGGTACAGAAGTATCAACGTTCGTTATTGTACAAAATAATTTTAGAACATTATGATTTTTTAAAGTGTTTATAAAAAAATGAAGGATTTGTATTACAGCTATTTGATAATTTAAATTTTTTTTTATGAATGTATTTGATTTGAATAACAATTAAAATAGAGTTGCGCCAAATAAAAATTTGTGGGTTTGGATGCCACAGTCTTTCTTAAATTTTTTTGGATAAATGCTAAAAAAATTGCAAATCATTTAACAAAAGTCGCAGCTTCATGATGCTGTGATACTGTAAATCATAGTAATGAAAGGTTTCTTTTTAAACGGCGACATTTCTGAGTCATACATTTTAAAGGAATTTCAATAGAAGGAATTTTCACCGCATACCCCCAACCGGGGCCAAAAAAATACCTAAACAGACAGACAAACCTTTAGGACACGATCCTCCTTTCCTTAGGATGCAATAAGTTCCTCTTGGCCATTGTACTAATTTCCATGTGGTCCAATCTGTAACCTTCTCCTCACGAGTCTTTGAACAGTAAAATGTTTTTGTGTTCCTATCAAATGAACCTAAAATGATCAAAAGAAAAAAGAAAAATAATTAACTAAACAATAGCAAGTTGGAAAATTGTTCATCAAATTGTTTTATTCCTACGACTCCCTTTAACAGCACTTGCAATCTGTAAGCAGTTATAGTTTCATTTGTGTGTCCATGAAATAAAATTACGCTAAAAATGTTAGTTAAATAATGATGGAAGTCAAATTGAATTAAAAGAGTTGCGAATACTTATATAATAACATTAACGATACCAATTTTTCTGCACAACATGCCCATTTCGACAAGAAATGTCTCTTCAGTGATACCCGAGGCCAAAATATTTGGAAATCCAAAACTTATTAAAAAAGGGAAGAGCTGATAAAACCAAAAAGTACAAAACGTATAGCCATAGGCGGGAAAGGAATCAGAGCTTTGCATTTCTTTTTTTTATTCGAGCGTCACTGATAAGTCATTTGTAGAGGAAACGCGCGTCTGGCGTTCAAAAATCTTATCCTGGTGTCTATGATGAGTTTAATTTTAAAGTAAGTGGAATAAATATTTGAAAGTATGCCAAAAATCATGCATAGCTACATTGTTTAATTTTCAAGTAATGTTTCATACTGTATTTCCGGATTATGATTTCTAGTAATTATCAATATATGGTTACCATAAAAATGGTGACCATTGGACACCGAGTTTTTGTTATCACTATCTTCGTTATCCTGATGTCGCCATCCTTCGAACCATCCGGGTGGACAGCCTGATTTAGGTTTTACTAAAGTATATTTTCCCTGTGGCCACGGTACTACAAGAAACAAGAAAAAAAAATGAATTATGCGTATTTTACCCTGTCATAAAAACCATATATAAGCATTTATACCAGCATATGATATACAAAATGTGATTCAATATTTGTGAAATCGTATTGAAAACCAGTTAACCATTCTGTAAAAAAACACCTTTTATTTCTTAGGGTATGCATTCTGTTTGTTAAAAAAAAAAGATAAAGATAATAATAATCAGACACCAACGTTTAAATGAAACAGAATGCAATATGGCCAAACACTCGCCGCTCTCTATATCTATCATCTAAAACGACCCACAACACGAAGCATTGTTATGAAAATATACTTAAAACCTTCAAATGTACACTTATTTACCTGCATTAACACAAGCAACCACAAGGAACAAAGCCAAGATGTTCTGCATCATTGTATACTGCCACTTTTGTTAAAATCGAATGCTTTAAAATAAAAAAATACGAGTTTCAGAAATGGTGAAATAAAACACTTACGTTATATAGTTTATGCTTGTTTCATACAGGTAAGGAATGGCCCTACCTGCTTACGACGCATATATTAGGTTGTTTAAAATAGCTTGAATTAAAACCGGTATTCATTCAAAATGGTTAAGAAATCTGCGCCAGCTACAGTGTTTGCATGTGACTATGATGATTGTGATAGCGAAAAAATCATAAGCGATCTGTCAACACAGTCTAATGTAAAATATTATGTTTTTAATGTCAGATCTTACTGAACGCTCATGAACGTAACCTGAATATGAAAAACTTGTGAAGTGTGTCAAATTTGCATCTATTTTGTACGACCCTAGCTTTAACTAAAATCCTACTGGTCTTCATTAACTCTGTATATACTGTTATGTACCATGATTTTACATCTGCAGATTTCTATTGTTTTACGAATTTCCATTTTCATTTAAATATAGATTCTGCATTATCAAATCTTTCATATTAATATTGATATACTTATCAATATCTCTGATATAACATTTCAATATGAGCCATTTTTCTTTATTTTTTATAATTCGTTTAAAGCGAAAAACACAATAAAGTTTTACTTACTCTAAAACACTTCCCTGCTTATCAATTGACGAATTGATATAAAAACACTATTGAACAATAAGTGTTTTCCTTTACACATGCGCGTACAACGCTGTCAATACTAATAAAGTATGAATAATAAACCAGATATATTAAAACAAAAACCACACACACACACCCACACCCACCCACACATACACACATACACACACACTTTTATATTGTCGTATCTATAACAACATAAAAAATGCATTTCTTTCAATAAGGGATACATAGCAAACGGAGATGTCCACAATAGGCAAAGTGCAGTAAGAACAAGTGGACACCTACAGGCCAGTCTCTCTTACCTCAGAGTTTTGGAAAACGACAGAACATATCATCTACCGTTATGTAATGTACCATTTGGAAAACAAAACATTTCATTAGACTATCAACATGGTTTCAGACAACATCGTTCCTGTGAAATTCCATTGGTGAACACCATACAAATAGTCCCCTGCTCATTGGATATGAGAGAACAAGTGGATATGCTTGTCTTAGATTTTTCGGAGGCATTAGGCACAGTTCCACACCAGAGGCTATAACAAAAGATGAGCTACTACGGTATTCGAGGAAATGTACCCAGCTAGATTAATGCTTGGCTAACCCAACGAAATCAATGAGTGTGTGTAGATGGCGAAATGAAAACATTAAGTTCCGGTGTTCCCCAGGGAACGGTTATTTGATCCCCATTATTCTGCTGCACATCAACGTTATAGTCGATTTTATATCATCATGTACCAGTTTACCACTATTTGCAGACGATTCCCTTCTGTCCACAACTAAGAGACATGCCAACAGCTTCAACAAGATTTTGCACAACTTGTAGAATAGGCAAGAGGCTGGCAGAGGAAATTCCATCCAGCAAAATGTTTAAAAAAAAACCCAATAAATACTTTTTTTATCCTTAGGGTGAAAAAAAGGTTTGGCATGCCACAAAACCAGGTTCAACCGACCATTTTTTTCTTAAAATGTCCTGTACCAAGTCAGGAAAATGGCCATTGTTATATCATAGTTCGTTTCTGTGTGTGTTACATTTTAATGTTGTGTTTTTGTTGTGTCGTTGTTCTCCTCTTATATTTGATGCGTTTCCCTCAGTTTTAGTTTGTAACCCGGATTTGCTTTTATCTCTATCGATTTATGAGTTTTCGAACAGCGGTATACTACTGTTGCCTTTTTTTATCCTTAGGGTGACAAAAAACGCAACCCTGTTGTTTACAAAAACAAAATGATGGAGTATTACCTGGAAACTGTTCAGCTCTACACATACCTCGGTTTGTTACTGACAAAGGAAATGAATTTGGACCACCACATATATACAGTAACATCAAAAGCTAACCGAAAACTAGGATTTCTAAGAGAAAACTCAAACAAATGTTCACAAGATATAAAAGATAGTGCATATAAAACGTTATATATACACTTCGAGTTCACATCTGCATTATGGGACCCATACAGTAATTGCCACATTTACCAAATCGAAATGGCTCAACGAAGAACTGCCCGCTTTGTAACAAAAATTATTCCCAGGAACCAGGAACTGTTACCAACAGCCTACAAACACTTGTTTGAGCAACCCTAGTAACACGCAGAAAAGGAGCCAGGCTCATACTCCTGTATCAGATCTTGCATCGAGAAGCAACAGTCACCATTCCATATTACATCAAGAGACAAACCGTAACAACCAGACAATATCACAGAGACAGGTTTTCCAGGGTCAGGCCATCAACGGATTCCTATAATACAGCTTTATCCCTAGAACTACAGCTTTATCCCTACAACATTGTGGACTAGAATCAACTACCTAAAAGTGCCATCGAAGCCCAAACAACCGACGCTTTCCGGGTCTGTGTGTTGGTTTTCCTGAGAACTGTATTATCTGATTATAACCCAGGACAGTTGTTGCAAACATCACATAATTTTAAGTTGTTTATGTTCTATCAATACACGATAGTTTTTGTTTATTTTTAACCTTACGTGTGCTGGTATACACACGCGAGCAGTATATCTGCGTTATTGAAGTTTCGACTGCAGATTATCCACATAGAAAAACAAGTAGGAGATCAAACCCGATTTAACTTTTATAGGTTTTTATTTTTACAGGTTTATTCAGAAATGACCCAGTTCCAAATCCACCATATCAAATGCAAAATATTTGGCTTTGTGAAGATCAGAGTGTGTGTGCGAGAGAGAGAGAGAGAGAGAGAGAGAGAGAGAGAGAGAGAGAGAGAGAGAGAGAGAGAGAGAGAGAGAGAGAGAGAGAGAGAGAGATATCGTGCATCACGTTTATTTACCTAGAAATTCCAATATTTTTAGATATATATATTTATTATATATTTTAAACACTTTCATCTAAATTACACTAGTAGTAAAATGCTATTTCTCATATATATTTTTTATACAGGTTAATGTCATACATTGATATCAAAAAAAGAAATAGAAACAATATTCCCCGCCAATCGTTCTTATTTTAAAAATGCATTTATTTGGAAAAAAAAACCCCAAAAAAAAGCTCATGAACCTATATCTGTTTTTCTATAACTTAATGCACTATGCATTAACTATTGAAAACAAAATGTCGTGAATGAAGTTGTTGTGTGAAATGTCAGCAGTACATATACAAATACTTAATAAAACTACAAGAAGATGTGATATGATTGCCAGTTAGACAATTCTCCACCAGAGACTAAAATAATGTAGAAGTTATGGAAAATATAGGTCACCTACGACCTTAAACAATGAGCAAAACCCATACCGCATACAGTAAGCTATAAAAGGCACAGAGATGACAAATGTAAAATAATTCAAACGAGAGAACTAACGGCCTGATTTATGTCATATACAACAACAAACGACAACCACTGAATTACAGGCTCCTGGCTTTAGACAGGCATATAGAGAATGTGGCGGGGTTAAACATGTTTGCTGTTGGCAAACTCCTTACCTTGACAGTGGTGTAACAGAACAGCATATGAACAAACTATGAAAATCAGTTGAAAAGGGCCTAACTCATCAGCCCGATATAAATAACAAAAAAACCTAACAAAAAACACAAAAGACACAAAATACAAATCTGAGAGTACTCGTAGTTACTGAAAGCCAGTTAAAAGCCAATAATAACTAATAATAAATCATGTTTCTAGACTAAAAGTTTATCTAAATTTATATTTCAGCAGATGAAGAGAAATATTTAAAATTAATGATCAGCTCATCTTCAGTTAACATATTTCCGTTTAGATGACTTAGCGAGGGAAAAAACAATGATAAAACGTCCTGCCTGTGTCTGATATATATAACACCGGATTAAAGATAGTGTTCATTTTCCTGTTTGTTTAAAATATACATAACACTTTAAAATATATTAAAAACACAATTGACCAATGTTCAACAAGGCAACCAAACTATTTTAGTACATTTACATATATTATCAATTTTCGTCATTTTTTGGACTATGAACTTCAAAATATAAATTTTCGACTTAAGGAAATGCCTGTACCAAGTCAGAAATATGAGAGTTGTTTTCCATTAGTTTGATGTGTTTTAGCTTTTGATTTTGCCATTTGTTATGGGACTTTCCGTTTTGAATTTTCGTTGGAGTTCGATATTTTTGTTATTTTCTTTTTAATACACGTATGCCTATATTTTCTTTTGCAAATTTCAGTTTTATTTAACCAGTTTTCAACCAAAGTCAAATTGTAATCTTTTTCTTTCAACTGGCGTTCGTTGTATGTCCGTTTGTATACACACCAAACGTTTCTTATGATAAATGGTGAAATTGGAAATTTAAAAGTTTGAAATAAAATATTACAAAAAACCTTACTGGGAAGTATTACATGCTGCTTTCAGAACTACACAGATTAAGATCTGCTTAACATTCCGGATCACCCGAGACCATCCCTGTTTAAGGTTCGGTTCGTACTGTTTCGTCTTTAGTTGCTGATGTTGTGTTCTGTGTGATTGTTTGTTATTTCGTAATATTTCGTTTTCTGCCATTGCATTGTCAGTTTGTGTTCGAGTTTGAAAGTCCCTTTGGTTTCTTTAGTCTGCATTTTTTAACTTTGGTTTTACCTCTTACTGATTTCATGTAGAATGAGCTTCGATATGAGACTTTAGATAACGTTGGAACTAGAAAATAATATGAAGTAGTTCTTGTCCTGATAAGAAAATGTGTATTAAATCTTGGTCTGAGAGAAGAATATGAATTGATATAAAAATAAGGAGATTTGGTATGATTGCCAACGAGACCAATATCCACCAAAGTTCAAATGAAGTGGATGTAAGCAATTATAGCCAACCGTACGGCCTTCAACAATGAGAAAACCCACACCGTATAGTCGACTATAAAAGACCCGACATGAAAAATATGAAACAATTCAATTGAGAAAACTAACGGCCTCATTTATAACAAAACAATTTCTGAGAGGAAAATATGTATCAAATCTTGTTCTGAGAGGAAAATATGTATGAAATCTTGTTCTGATAAAATAAATATAGATTAAAATATGAAAACAACAAGTTATAAATCTCATGCGTCCGAAGCGCTTTTCTGGATTTACCATTATCAAGAACGCTCAAAGCTAAATACTTCAAAGCCAAGGGTGTATAAGAACCGAAACAGTTGAAGAGCTAAAGGACGGAAAAGGACCTAAAAAAATTGCCAAATTCGTCTAAGGTCAACTTTGCCTGAGGGAGTTGAAACCTTAGTTTCTTTATAATTTCTGAATTTCTAAACGTGCAATTTTAGAAAGGTTTGTAATAAATCATGTCAGTATCTTGTTCTGATAAGAACAAATGTATAAAGTCTTGTTGTGATGAGAAAATATATATTAAATTTTGTTTTGGGAGGAACATGAATCACCAGTCTTTCACCTTTCATTTGATACCTAAATTGCCAATTGTATTCTACATAGTTTGATATTTGCGCCCATGCGTGGGTACTATTTTGTTTTAAATATGTACTAATTTCCATTATGTCCTATTTGAAGGGCCCGATTTGGTGGTGTTACATCTTACAAAGTCCATCCAAAGCGGTGCAAGGGGCCGTCTTCAACATGCAGTGAGGTTAGAGTTTTTTTGCTCCGTGATGAAGACCTCACTTTGATATTTTGAGATGAAGAACAGCAATAAAAGCGCTGTTTCATTGCTTTTTGTGTATTTTTTGCTGTGCATGTACTAACTTTGTGTCATGGATGGATACCCCATATCCTTTGTTTTTCTATTATATGTATTAGATATTGTGTTGATAACAGCTATTACTCGATCAATTTGACTTCATCAGGTATAGTTTTTAATATGACGTAATCGGGTGTAGCTTTCTCTTATGGCTTCATCGAGTGTAGTTTTTAATAAAACTTTAAACGGAATAATTCATTTTTTATAAGTCCAGTGTAGTTTTTAATATGAATTCATTTAGTATCATTTATAATTTGTCTTCATCGGGTGTAGTTTTTGTTATGATTTCATAAGGTGACTTTTTTATTTGACTTCATCGAGAGTAGTGTTTAATATGACTTCATCGGGTGTAGTATTGAATGTAACTTTATCGGATGTAGTTTTAATAAGACTCCATTTGGGTATAATTATGATAATATGGCTTCAATTGGTGTAGTATTGAATGTAACTTCATCTGGTGTAGTATTTGGAAATCAAAATACATATAACTTTAAGAAGGTCGAATTTCATGCCATGCCTAAAATTGGCAGCATTCCACTAGTGGAGCTGGATACTTCTGTAGCACCCCAGTTTTTTGGTCTTCTCCGACATTTTTTTACCTAAAGATCTAGAATTGCAATCTTAGTTTTCACTTAAATCTTATGGAGTTACTGTTCAACGAACATGTTCACTACTTTAATATATTTATATTGTAGAATATGTTCCTATACTGTTAAATCAATAATCATCTCAATATTTAAATTGGACAAAGTAATTGATCTTGTATAAACGTATGAAACCTAGTAGAAACTCCTCTCTGACCTACCTATAAACTTGAAGACTAAAATACTGCTACTGAAAATTTTGAAACAGTGTTTTATCCTATAATAATTAAATCATGATAAGAACGAAAATCTTTTGCATAATAATTCTTATGAGGAAGTTGGAACTTCTGTTAATTATTTATTTAGACCCTTTCCTCTCGCATCCAAGGAATGTTTTACTCGATGAACAAAAAGGTTTTTCAAAAGCAGAACATCCTTCTCAAAATGTGAAACAATTCTAATGAGATTACCAAGTGTCTGATTAAAGCTAAAACAGTAAACTATAAAAAACAGACTACAGTCAATCTTTCAAATCACATGACACCTTAAACATATACTGTATATTTCCTAGCATCATTTATTATTCCAATTCCATGAGTTTATGTTAATTCATTGCAAAAATCAATCAGTTAGTCTAATTTGAAGCTGTTTGTTAAAATCATATGAAACTTCAAATTAAAAAAAAAGTTGAATATGTTTTATATACTTAAATGGCTAAGTTTTAATCTAAAACAAGTGAACGTGAACTTTTAAAAAATAAAATCCTTTATATTATCAAAAGCTTCATAAATGTACCGATATTGAATTATTGTCTTCCCAGACACTAATTCGCCAATATTTTCCCGTATGTAGTGACCTTAACTATGAGACCTCTCATTATAACATCGGCCACCACCCCGCGCAAGTGCTAGGGGGGAAACCATGATGAAAGAATGAATGTTAACAAACGTGCTCTGGAAGGTAAATAGTAATAACAGATTCTTAAATAACAAATGTATTACAAAAAATCATTTAACATCTGTTCAGGAAAAGTTTATTTAACAAATAGGAACGCATGGAAAACATAAAAACAAATGTCATGACTCTTTCACTTTACATATTTGTCACGTTTTCCATTGCTCTGTTTATCAATGTCACGATCCTGTAAATTTCGGCAAAAAACTCGAAAGTTAATTAGCTTGCGATCAACAATCACTGAATGAAATATTATTTGTCGATAATTCGTTATATATCGTAATAAATATAAAAAAAAAAAAACGTGTTTACAAGGCTTAGTTTAGTATATATGCATGCATTGGTTCAATAATTTCGATAACATTAAATTTTGAAGAAATTCGTTTCGTATGACTTTAAAGTAAAACTTATCATGCATGGGAGTAATAAAAGCTAAAACAACATTAATAATTGTCCCTCCGCACTACGAGTTGGGGGGAACATCGAAATACCTGGCGTCCGTCCGGTCTTGTAAGCGTTCTCTTGTAAACAACTCTTGCCAGATTTTTATGAAATTCATATCAAAGGACAATTTTGAAAATCGATGCCTATCAGCTATTTTGTTCATTAGTTATGCCCCTTGAAAATATTGATTTTAAGAACAATTGCACTGTAAGTGTTCTCTCGTAAACACTACCTGTCAGATTTTATATGAAACTTATATCTAAGGTTAATATCGGCAATGTCTCGGACAAGTTCGAAAATCAGTGCCAATCAACTATTCCTTAAAAAGTTACGGCCCTTGGAAATACTTTTTTAATGGAAGATTAAAGATTAATGATTGCATTATCAGCACTCTCACGTGTACAATTTTTGCAACTTTTTTTTAATGAAATTAACATGAAAGGTTTTTATCAGCAAAGTCTCGGACAAGTTAGAAAATCAGTGTCGAATTATGGACCTCGAAAATATTGATTATACGGAAAATTGCATTATAAACACCCTACATTTCTAAGATATCTATACAAAGGTCTAAAGAACCAAAAAAAAAAAACAAAAAAAAACATAATTCCTTTTAAGTTATTGTACTTGGAAAGATAAAATATGTTTCAACAGAGGAGACATTGGAACTTGTTTAGGGTAAGGAAAAAATAATCTATAATGCTAATAATTTGCAAAGTGTAATTTACAAAAGAAGGACGAAAGATACCAGAGGGACAGCCAAACTCATAGATCGAAAACAAACTGACAACGCCATTGCCAAAAATAAAAAGACAAACAGACAAATAATAGTACAGATGACACAACATAGAAAACTAAAGACTAAACAACACCAAAACTGGGGGTGATCCCAGGTGCTCCAGAAGGGTAAGCAGATCCTGCTCCACATGTGGCACCCGTCGTGTTGCTTATGTTATTACAAATCCGGTAAATAGTCTAAATTGGTGGGTCAAATTCGTGAAAAGGGAAGGGTATTGTAGTTACGACATATTGAACATATCCGATGTCATCTGTGAAACGGTTATTCCATAACGGTCAACCAACTCGTGATGGCATCCGTAAAATTAACGAAGGGATGATTTCAACTTCACCATTTGGAACTCTTGGTTTAATAGCTTCTTTGTGAGCAGCAATCCTCTATCAAGGACAAATTCTTTATAGGCACCTATCTGAAGGTCAAAACTAGTTTTCCTGTGCAGACCCTGAATTTGAACAACATATTAGGGATAAGAACAGAGTAATCTTTCTACAATTTGGTTTTAATCAGCTTTTCAGAACAGAATCAGTGTTAAATGAACAAGACTATGAAACATTATCATCCTTTACGACAGACAAGGTAGCTGATCTGAAAGGTACACTATCTACTTGCCACTATTATTACATCATGTACTGTGTTACAACCCTAGATAGAGCCGACTAGGAAAGGCATTACTCAACCAACGAAAGCTATATTTTTATATTACCTAGTTGGCCGATTGGTCTAAAGCGCTGGACACAGCGCAGGCACTGTTGCCACGATGTCACAGAAGCAAGGGTTCGAATCCAGCTGAGGGAAAACAAATGCAGAGTTAACATTGTTGGGATAAAATTATATTTTGTTAAAACACAACTTAATTTTCTGTATATAATATTTTCAACCAAGATTGCTCCTTTCTAATCTTGCCTTTGAATGTACATAAGGAATCTTTCCAATTCACAATAAACCATATTAGTTACCGTACTCATTTTAAGTTTATTAGATAATACGAATGAACTATTTCAATAAGTGTTGCTTTATAGAATCCTCATATTTCCGAGCATTTATTCAATATGATTGCTACATAAGTATCAAATAGAGACAACAAAGTTTTATGTTTATAATAATCATCATGTATTTATTCAAAAGACTAAAATCAGCATTTTTGCACTGTACTAGTATTTACAAAATGACCGTTTGAATAAAACAACATGCCTAAGTACATAATTTGATTGCACAAATCAATAGCTTTACCATATAAATGCCATAACACAACTTTATGGTCCGCTAAAGTCAAAATAAAAACTAACACATGTTATGATGATGCAGGCCACAGATGTGACAGTTTATGTTTCAAAATCAATCATATCAAAAGATACATGTATAAAATTTGCATACACTACAATTATAAGTACCAATTGTGAATTTAAATATACAATACTGTCATTACAATCTGAACCAATGAGCATATTATGTAATAAGTGAAAAGACAAATGTCATCAATTATTAAAATTGAAATTTTTGAAAAGTCAATCAATTTAGAGTTATCTCCCCTTGACTATAAATTTGTTAATAATAGTGTAACATCTCAACTTTTGGGAGCAGATACCGCCTCTTTTCGTCACCTTCAAGCAATGAAAGAAACTCTTTTCAAGGTGGAAGTAGGGGAAGGAGGAGGGGATTAAAATATTTTATGAAATTGAGTGTCACCAAATTTCTTTACGTGTTCTTCCTTCGGCAGCTATTTGAAAAAGAGGCTGCATATTAAAACATGTGCTTGAAGTAGCGCCCCCATATCAATTACAAAATTCCTAAGAGTTTCAAGTCAGATAAGCACCTATGTACTGTACAAAACTATTTTCTACATATTTCTAATATTTCTAACATTTACAAAACATGATATCAAAAGACTTAATACAATTAAAAGTTACAATCTTTCATTGTACCATAAAGTCACTTATGCTGCACATAAGTGTATTTATGGTCCGCTAAAGTCAAAATAAAAACTAACACATGTTATGATGATGCAGGCCACAGATGTGACAGTTTATGTTTCAAAATCAATCATATCAAAAGATACATGTATAAAATTTGCATACACTACAATTATAAGTACCAATTGTGAATTTAAATATACAATACTTTCATTACAATCTGAACCAATGAGCATATTATGTAATAAGTGAAAAGACAAATGTCATCAATTATTAAAATTGAAATTTTTGAAAAGTCAATCAATTTAGAGTTATCTCCCCTTGACTATAAATTTGTTAATAATAGTGTAACATCTCAACTTTTGGGAGCAGATACCGCCATGACGTATGAAGCTCTTATGGAGCTGAATACGCTGCCCTAAAGTAAACCCGCATCACCCATCATCCTACTTATGCAAATGATAAAACTTATGATTCTATGTACTGTTTATAAACAAGTAAAAAATTATGCAACAAATGTATATACTAAAAATTCACAATATACAGACATTGAGTCCCACGAATGTCCTTTATCCTAAAAGACACAATTTACAGACATTGTGTCCTACCTACGTATCTACTTTATACAACCAATCATAAACTAAAGAGACACAATTTACAGACATTGTGTCTTATCAATGTATCTACTTGATACAAACCAAATATACTAAAAAGACACAATTTACAGACATTGTGTCCTATCAATGTATCTACTTGATACAAACTAAAATATACTAAAAAGACACAATTTACAGACATTGTGTCCTATCAATGTATCTACTTGATACACACTAAAATATACTAAAAAGACACAATTTACAGACATTGTGTCCTATCAATGTATCTACTTGATACAAACTAAAATATACTAAAAAGACACAATTTACAGACATTGTGTCCTATCAATGTATCTACTTGATACAAACTAAATATACTAAAAAGACACAATTTACAGACATTGTGTCCTATCAATGTATCTACTTGATACAAACCAAAATATACTAAAAAGACACAATTTACAGACATTGTGTCCTATCAATGTATCTACTTGATACAAACCAAAATATACTAAGAAGACACAATTTACAGACATTGTGTCCTATCAATGTATCTACTTGATACAAACTAAAATATACTAAAAAGACACAATTTACAGACATTGTGTCCTATCAATGTATCTACTTGATACAAACCAAAATATACTAAAAAGACACAATTTACAGACATCGTGTCAAACAAATATTTTTACTTGATGCAATAACAGACCAAGTTTGTTTACTATTGACTAAATTCTTACAGCAAAAACATGCATTCAATAATTGTATTAATACCTCTTTTCCCTTTCAGATAACTGTATTTCCTTATATATTGTTATAAGTTTACTGATAAATATTACTACATGTTAATGGGAGATTTTAAGATTCCAGTCCTGGCAAGCTGTTTTCTGTCAATTACTTCTCAGTAAAATTTGGTCATTTCAATGGTAAACGGATGAATTCCTGGTTTTAGGTTGTCCTTGTATCAGCTTAAATAAGCGTCATAATTCACCTTTCCCAATTGTCCACCGTTTCCATATAATATGAACTGTTATTCTGTTTGCGATATGTAATGAGCTGTGACCCACAAGCCCTGTACAAAATATAAAGTAATAAACGGCAGTAATTCATTCACAAGTTACGTCATTACAGGATCAGTTGTGAGACAGATAAACATGACTAAAGGTTAGAAATTTGACCTGATTGTCTAATATATAATTTGAATGCATCGGATTTCCATCTACCTAAATTTCTTATGGTTTCTGTGGACAATCCTTTTGCACTTGCGTCGGTAGCAAAGCCTATCCTGAAACTATGAGGTTTGTAATATGCTCTGCTGAGCCCACAAAAGTTCAAAGCACCATTCAGAGCATGTTGGAATAATTGTCTAGAAACAGCTTCTCCACTCGAATTGAGGAATAGTGGACCCGTTGTGTTTGTTCTCAAAGTTAAGTAACTAGTAAGTGCCGTTACTGCACAAATATTGTTATTTTTATTCTTAGCTATTTCTAAATGGAATTGTTTTCCATTTGAATGTTTGAAGTCCATGAAACTGATACTTAATTTTTCGTGTAACACAACAGTTTGACTTAAACTAATAACATGATTGTAATTTTTGTTGTTGACTGTCATCTCACCAATTCTTAAAAGAGCATGGTATGCTAGGGTGAACATTGCTTTGAATAGAATTTGATCATATCTATTAGATATTGTCTGTTTTAATGCATCTATTAAATGATTCAAAATTGTACTAGTAATTGGAAGTCTCATATCTTGATTTCTTCCCTTATGCACTGATTTCAGTACCTTATCAATAATGAATGAATCAGTTGGATCAGGCCAATTATTAATTTTGTGTGTAAAACCAATTGCTGATATGTATGTTGAGATAGAACTTGATGCAAGATCTTTGTTTTTCAAATGTGCTATAAATAGTATGAGATCTGAACTAGTAAGTGGTAACTGAAATCTAATGCCATATTCTTCAGCAAAACTCTTATAGTGGATAATTGCTCTTCTATAAGTTTTTTGTGAGGATTCAGATAAGATGTTGTTAAAAATTTTATTTAAGGGTTTCTGTAGCTTGGCAAATCTGGTAGATTGGGAACTGGTTTGGGAACAGTGTCTGCCCATGGTGCTAACCGATGAAATTTCTGTACCTGTTGACGAGAAAGTGCATCTGCCAAAACATTTTTTGAACCATATATTTGTTTTGCCTTAAAGTTCACATTGTTTCTCAAGCAGTGTAGAACTAGTCTCCTTATTAGGAACATAATTAACGCATCTTTAGATGTTTGTTTATTAATTACAGACGCTAAAGCTATATTGTCTGTATGAAAATATATGCACTGGTTTTCAAATCGGTGGCCCCATATTTCAACTGCCAAGACTATGGGATATAGCTCTAAAAAGGCAATATTTTGTTTTTGCCATTTTGTGTCCCATTTGCCTAAGAACCACTGTGAACCAAACAAAGCACCATAACCGTATGTACCAGAGGCATCTGTAAACAAATGTAGCTGATCAGATGTTAACCAACGGTCTGATAAAATCAATGACTTCCCATTAAAATTCTTTAAAAAATTTTGCCATGTATTTAGATCTTGCTTAACTGATTTTGTCATTCGTATTCTATGAAAGGATTTTTTGACCCCAATTGTTAAGTCTATTAGTCTTCTCAGAAATGCCCTTCCTGGGATGACAACTGCACAAGCAAAGTTGAGTGTACCAATGATAGATTGAAGTTCCCTCAATGTAATTTTTTCTTTTTGTAACACTACGGTTAAAAGATTGTGACATTTATCAAGCTTATCAATTGGAAGTCTAACTTCCATCAACCTAGTGTCTATTTCGTAACCAACAAAACTCATAACCTTGGATGGCTGGAATGTTTTTTCCTTAGAAATTGGTATACCCATATCTTTACAAATTGCAAGAAAACGTTCTAATTTTTTCTTACACCCATCTTCGGTTTTGTCTACTATCATAAAATCATCTAAAATATGCACTATGTTTGGAATAAGTACTTTATTTTTTGCGATCCATTCAATGGCTGTGCTAAAATTTTCAAAAATTTGACAACTAGAACTACAACCCATTTGCAGATTTTTATCGTAATAGTATTTCCCCTCCCACATGAAGCCAAATAGTTTGTATTGTGATTCTTTTATGTTTATAATTCGAAAAGCACTGGATATGTCGGTTTTTGCACAAAAACTTTTTCTTCCTACAGACTTAATCAGTTCTATTGCATCTTGGATGGAAGCATACTGTACACTGCATTTGTCTTGTGGTATGTTGTCATTGATTGATGATCCTTCAGGGAAAGATAAGTGGTGGATCATTCTATATGTCCCAGGCATTTTCTTTTCTGCTAGTCCCAAAGGGGATAATTGCATTTCTGTAAAAGGTTTTGAATCAAAAGGGCCAACAAATCTATTTGCATTAATTTCATTTTGAATTTTTTGTCTAACAATATCAGGTTTAGTCTTTGCTGATAATAAATTATCAACTGTATTATGATGAACAGAACCTCTGAATCCTACATCGAACCCATATTTAAACCCGTTAACTAAGTAATTGTACATTTCAATATTATATCCTTTTAACCAATATCCAAGCCTATCAACCTTAACTGGTGTATTGCTATTAGAATTATAGTTAACATCATTTTCTGGTGGGGACAGTTTTTTCTGTCCTTGGGGAAGAGGTGTCGTCTCTGTTACTAGATAGGGAGGGTCCCCGAAAGGGCTGGTTATTCCCTCTTTGTATCTTTTTTGAGTTATTACTGATTTGTGTGAACTTATAAGGGAGCCGAACTGGTTTTTTGCATGTTGAGAATGAGTGGTTGAAACCGCAATTGAAACATCTGTGTTGAAACTTACATTTATCACCAAACTTACAACCTAAACCCTTATGAAATGAAAAACATACTCCAACTGGCCAGCGAGTACTGCCACCTTTGTTGTTGTCATTCCCAGATTAAACGTTAGCTTGTAATTTTGCTCTGAGATATAGTTCTAGGTGTGTACTCCCCCATTGTGCTTCTCCTCTTTCTAATAATTTCCTAAATTCGATATCGTAAAATTGCCAGTTCCCCCCTTCTCTTGACATTTCCAGGATTATTTCCATATGGTGGGGGATTACAGGCCCTAATTCAGGGTTTTTAGTACAAATTATTGCTGTAAATTTATTCCAGGCTGATAGCCATTGGTTTAGGGTTAATGTTTTCTTGTTACGCTCTTCTGTAATGGACAGTTCAGGGTTGTCGGCCCCTTGAACAAGTTGTAATCTGTATTTGGTCTCGTCATTTTCAAAGAGGGAATGGAAGTCGATGTACTTTCCCGCCCATATTTGTTGTTTTATTTTATCCGGTATATTTCCCCCTGTTTTGAGGGAGCAACTGACAAAGGCTGATTGCCCCCCAATAATTTGTTTATCAACAGTTGGTTGTACAGCCAGAACCTCTGGGCTGACAACCACATTGTTATTGTCATGGTTTTGCTCTCCATTACATGTACCTTGGATGTTTCTGTTCAGAGTGTCCACGTGATGTTGGACCTCAGCCTCCTGAACATCGGAATTGCCATTATTTCCTTTTGAAGTTATCTTGTCAAAAATTTCCTCCATCCTCCTTTCCATTCGGCTAGCTACCCTTTCCGTTACCCTATTGGTCAACTCCTCCATGACATCTGGTAATATAACTGTTGCATTATTTGGGGAGATGGAAGGCCTACTTGGTATAGCGGTTGATGTTTTCTTCCTCTGGGCGGCCGTTTTCATTTTCTTTATGGCACCTGCCACACCGTACGAGGATTGTCTTTTTGGAGGCATTGTCTGAAATATACTAATGCAAACTTAATACAATACTTTCAATTATAATAATTTTTCTTTTTAGGACTATTTTGTTTAATTGAATTTGTTTTTCTTTGTATTTAACCTTGATTATTCATGTTAATCTTGTTTGAATAATTTAATCTGGACGGTCCTCAACCATTAAACATGTTAAAATTGTTTTGTTTGTATTCATTATTATCTGAAATATTACCAGTTTCTGCCGTAAAATTTTTTCTTTTGGTAACTAAATATTTAGTTTTAGCAACAACATTAAGTTCAAACATACGACATGTATCGTTACTGTATACATGACCTACATAATTCATTACTGACATTAGTATAAAAGTCAAGTACGATAATGTGATATGTACTATGATATCGATCGACAAACAGTAACATAGCGGATTGATATGTAAATTTGTGTTGTTAACTTGTATTTATTTATGGTAACTACTACTTGAACCATGATTATGCATCATAATCCCAATAAGTTTGATTGTCATTCTGTTGCGATTATCCACCGGAAGTTTTCCAAAGATTCCAAAACTTACGAGTACGGTTCAGATACGTGTTAATTTCCGTTTTCTAATTTAATCTCTTTGCAGGCATTGATAACTGCTCCTCGTATTGACTTGTATAAATGGTATTGACCTTTCGTATTTAGATGTACTCCATCGGAAATAAATTTATCTTTGCATGAATTTTTGTTTGTGGTGTCAAAAGAAAATCTTTTGTTATGATCCCAAAAGATAAATTTCGATGATTTTTCAACCTCGTTTTTTATCATTTTATTTATTTCTCGTGCTTTTTCAAAATACATATTCTTGTATGCCCTATCTCGGACGCTTGTATTGTCCCGAGTGTATCCATCTTTCTTAAGTCTGAAATTATCCCGTGGGAAGCGTGGCATGATGGCACATATTACGACTCGTCGAACTCCATACGTATTTGTCAGTATCGAACAGAAACTTATCAGTTTATATGCCACTTCCTCAACAGACGTGTCTTCTACAACATCGTTACCACCAGCTAGGAGAATAACACATTCGGGTTTTTTAATTTTAACTATGCCCATGTCGAACTTTATCATTTTATGAATAGTTCTTCCTCCTACGCCATGCCACTCGACGGTTGAGGTTTTTGCCAAATTGAAGTCTAATTGGTGTCTATGATCGTTTCCTGATTTCAGGTAGTTGTGAAGCCGATGGCAAATGGAATGACCTAGTATAAGTGTGTTTAAAGGCATGCCTAGAAAAAATATTTTATGAAATTGAGTGAAAATATTTTATGAAATTGAGTGTCACCAAATTTCTTTACGTGTTCTTCCTTCGGCAACTATTTGAAAAAGAGGCTGCATATTAAAACATGTGCTTGAAGTAGCGCCCCCATATCAATTACAAAATTCCTAAGAGTTTCAAGTCAGATAAGCACCTATGTACTGTACAAAACTATTTTCTACATATTTCTAATATTTCTAACATTTACAAAACATGATATCAAAAGACTTAATACAATTAAAAGTTACAATCTTTCATTGTACCATAAAGTCACTTATGCTGCACATAAGTGTATTTATTTTCTGTGTAAATATTTAATTTGATTTGCTGTGTTGTCCTTTAATAATGTTTAAAAAAATAATCGCTCACATTCTCAAAGAATTGTTACTTTTCGTTTATATCAAAAAGAAAAAAAGAAGCAATACCTCAGATAGCTACTAAATGAAAGTAAAACATAAACAAATATAAAAGTTGAAGAATAAGATAAACAAAAATAAATACAAGTAAACATAAAATGCAATAATACACAAAAAATAAAGTGTAGTTGTACTGTGTTAATCGTTTTCTTGATTTGACATAAGTGACAACAAATGAAAATTAAATAACGCAGCATTTATTAGAAAAATTTGTGTCAGAAGTTAATATATGTTTCATGACTTTATGCATAATAGCAATAATGTATACGTATATTCCTGCCTCCATCTAGAGATGGATAGCTTCCAGCCCAGCTGTTTTCGTTACCTTTATCATCTTCGTCGTCGGTCCTTATATATTCATTGCGGACAGTCATTCCTTTCACCTGCTGACATGCGCTTGATTTTCTCACAAGATAGAATGGCTTAGATGTGGGAAGTTCTATCGCAATATTAGACGGTCCATCAGATCTGAGAATGAATAAACAATCATATCAATATGACAATACAATGTAAACAAATATATATCTTTAAAAAAAATGTTGTTGACTAATAGTAAATTAACTTTCAGCTTCGTTGACTAATTACAATTTAATTTTTAGCTTCGTTGACTAACTATAAGTTTAACTTCAAGCTTCGTTGAATAATTTTAAATCAAATTTTAGTTCTTTGAATACTTATAGGTTTATCTTTTAGCTTCGTTGACTAATTACAAGTTTAACTAAAAGCTGCGTTAGCTAATTTCAAGTTAACTTGTAGCTTCTTTGACTAATTATAACTTTAACTTTTAACTTCGTTGATTAACTATAAGTTAACTTTTAGCATCGTTGACTAATTACGAGTTTAACTTTTAGCTTCGTTAACTAATTATAAGTTAAAACCTTTAGCTTTGTTGACTAATTTTAAGTCAACTTGTAGATCGTTGACTAACTATAAGTTTACTTGTAATATGGTTGACTAATTGTAAGCTATGTTTAAGCTTATCATTATCACATGATAGACGTATTATCTACAGCAGTATTGTATCAATGTGTTTCTTCCATATGATCCGTCCGGCAAGGTTCCACTTAACCTATTTAAACTACCAGAATCATCTTCATCATCCCAATAAACATGTCCGTTTGCAAATCCTAAATATTGTTAAAAAAAAAGAATGGTTATTTCATATACAGTAAGTACTAGATCATGAAAACTGTTTGCGAGCATCGAACGGTTTGTTATTTTTATGTAATTAGAACCGTTTTACTTGGAGAGGTATGAGTTAACTTTTTACAATGTGTGATGGAGAGCGGGATGGAAAAAATGCATAAGGCTAGCTTGGTGTAACGACAGTTATTTTATCGTGAAATTGAAGGAAATGATACAAAATAACCGAAACAACTAAGCATACACTGTACAAGTTCATTGCAATTTAAATAATGTGTTTAATTATACAACCAACGAGGGAACCCCAGGTTAAAGTAATTTGATCAAGATCCTTTGACCGAGTGGGCTAAGTGGTTCGATCCTGTCACTTTCCTGGTTGTTTATGATGTTTTTTAAAAATACGTAACCGTTTTTCGGAGGGAACGGAAATAGTTAGCACTTTTTCGGGAACATACCTCGGTTCTAACAAAGCTTCAAATCTTAAAACACATACAATCAAATCTCTACAATGGGTTATAATATACATAGTTGTTTTGTTTGAATTCAGTAACTGAAAAAAAGGTTAAAAAAAAAACGCCCTTTAGTGTTACATAATAATTTCAGACATTTTTTTTTATGTGTTTATAAAAATATCAAGGATATTTATTAGAGCTATTTGGCAAAACCATTATTTTCGAAACTCCGAAACAAGTTTTAAAATTACAGACGACGGCTGTCAGATAAATTCTGAACGTTATAACGGAAAATATTTTAAAAATCCCCCAATAAAACTGACTGACAAACCTTTGGGACACGATCCTCCTTTCCTTAGTATACAGTAAGTTCCTTTTGGCCATGGCAGTAATATCCATTTGGTCCAATCTTTAACCTTCTCCTCACGAATCTTTGAACAGTAATATTTTTTTGTGTTCCTACTAAATTCACCTACAATGATCATCGGAAAAAAGAGAATGAATTGCTAAACAAAAGCATTTTGAAAAATTGTCCATTACATTGGTGTATTCATATGGAAGTCTTATTAATTTGGAAAAGCGAGACGAAAGATACCAACGATACTACAAGCAACACGAACCCTGAAAGGGTGGTGAATGCGTATGTCTAATGTCTAATGTAAGTGGGTATGCAAGAAACAAATATTTCAAATTCTGGTTAAAAATCAAGAAACGTAACATTGATTAATTTTCAAGAAATGTTTCATATTGTAATTTCAGGATAAAGTTTTTTTTAATAGATCGATATCTTAAATCAATATATGATTACCGTAAAAATGGTGACCACTGGATATCGAGTTAATGTTGTTTTTATCATCTTCGTTGTCCTGTGATCGCCATCCTTCAACCCATCCAGGTGGACAACCTGATTTAGGTTTTACTAAAGTATATTTTCCCTTTGGCCACGGTACTACAAGAAACAATGCATTAATTGGTATATTATTCTGTCATAAAAAACCCCAACATATTGAATATTCATTTATAACGAACAGCATATCATATACAAAATGTGATTCTATATTTATGAAAGCGTATTGAGAACCCATAACCCATTGAGTGAAAAAGACCCACTTTTATTCGTAGGGTATGAATGCTGTTTGTTTAAAGGATCATTAGAACTTTTACATGAAATGGAATTCACATTGACACAGCAACCGCTACCCGCGCCTGTATCTTTCATGCTTGAAACACAATGACCTACACCACGGAACATTACATTCATTTAGTAGTATTTGATACATTATGAATATATTGATCTTTTTAACCCATAAATGTACGCTTATTTACATGCACAAACACAAACAACCACAAGGAACAAAGCCAATATATTCTGCATCATTGTATACTGTCACCTATTGTAAAACATAAAATGCTAATAAATTATTATTAAATAGAACACACTAGTTATACAGTTTATACTTGTTTCGTACCGGATATGTGTACACCTACCTGCTTAAGGCGCATGTCTCATTTTGTTAGCAAATAAGCTTAAATTTGAACCGGTTTAAGCCAAAATGATGATGTCAAGAGACCATGATGATGATAGCGAAAACAAAGACATTATAAGCGATCTGTAAACTCCGTCTAATAAAATGTATTATGCTTTTTAATATCAGATCTCCTGAACTTACAATGTTATTTATAACCTCATTTGAAAAAAAAGTGTGTAAGATTTGTCACTTGCGTCGAATGTTTATTATTCAATTGGAAATAAACAACGCACCTGAATCCAGAAATACCATTTGAAATTAAGAAAGAGAATATTGAGAAAATGTAAAAATAAGGAAATGGAATAGTGTCGTCTTCTTACATTTTCGTTGAGGAAGAAAAAAGGCCAAACTCATTAATAAGAGCTGTAACTTAAAACCTTATTGTCTTCACACGTCACTGCTGACACCAAACGATCTTTTATTCACGTATTGTTCTTACAGTCATAGGAAATAAAACTATTGTTTAGATTGATAATATAAAATAACGGGCAAAATAAACATGCATAGGTTTAACTTACCCTTAAAAAAACTTCACTAGCTTATCAATTGGTGAATTGTTTTATATCCTGTGGTGTCTGTCGTTGATGGAATATGTTCGTTGTTGTTCTGCAGTTTGCATGTTGTGTCGACTATTATATTATGTGTTTGTGCTTTATTTCTGTCACGTAGTGTTGTCATTTTAGCGATATTTTTAACATTGTCATAAAGCGGGAGGTTTGGCTAGCCATTAAACCAGGTTCAACCCACCACTTTTTCTTAAAATGTCCTGTACCAAGTCAGGAATATGGCAGTTGTTTTAAATAGTTCGTTTCTATGTATGTTGGCGTGTGTTTTTGTTGCACTTCAGTGTTCCTGTTGTCCTGTTTGTTTTTCTCTTATAGTTAATGTGTTTCCCTTGGTTTTAGCTGGTAGCCCGGATTTGTTTCCTCTCAATCGATTTATGACTTTTGAACACCGGTATGCTACTGTTGCCTTTATCTATTAAACAATATTGTCCCGAAAAGAGAAAGAGAGAGAGAGAGAGAGAGATTTTAGCGAGCGAAAGATTTCAATACAATAAAGATAAAGTTACTGCTTGTTAAAGAAAAAGAGAGGCGAGAGATAACAGAGGGACATTCTAATTCATAAGTCGAAAATAAAGTGACAACGCCATGGCTAAAAAAGAAAAAGACCAACAGACAAACAAAAGCACACAAAACACAATATAGAAAACTAAAGACTGAGCAACACGAACCCCACCAAAAATCACTGGCACCTTAAACAAACCCATATGTTGTGTTCCAATAAAATCCACTTGTTTGTAGAAAACATTGATTAATTTGATAAGGACAAGAATTTAAATAAAACTTCTAAATCCTTGTTTACTTATCTACAATCTATGTTTAAAGTAAAAACAACCAGAGAGTGAAATAAAGCTTTTCATATTTTTGTTATTCTCGGGACTTTTATAATTTACTATATGGTAAAGGGATACCAAAATAAAATCTTAAATCACTCCAGAATTTACTTTTAAACTCGCAACTTGTATTACTATCGACAACTTATAGTTATCGTATATACTCCCTAAATAAAGTCAATGAAAATTACTGGAAATATAGAAATACATACCGATATCAGATGTACTTACAAAAACAAGCATTTTCATTCCGTTACAGTTTCGTTTATACAAATTGGTACATAACACGATCATCGAGGTACCCAACCCAAACATATACATATAAAATACACACTAGAGCAACTGTTTATATCCCATTTGGAACTTCCTAGCCAATTAAAGTTCATACGTGACATGAAACAGATTGGATTAGATGGAATCTCATCAATCGATGGAAACACGTGACTGGAATTGATCTCTGCTACTATAAGGCCACATGAATGATGATGTAGATATCAAACATATATGTTTTGTTTTCACGGTACCCGGATGCAGAGAACGGCAGCTAACGTGATCTGAATTAGATTTAAAAGAAATCACATGTGTATATCATTCAACGTGTTAACTATGAATAGCCAAAGGTGTCATAATTCCAACTTTGCAATTCTTAAATTGTAACCGTACAACTCGACAATTGAACTATGAAACTATGTTATTTAAAGGAAGTTGGAATTTCAAAATTACAGAGTTACATACATATATACAATTTAATAATTGCAAAGTTGAAAATACATACATGTTAGGCTTTACACTTCGCAAACAGAGAGAAAGGGATGTTCCCTGATCAGGGGTTTACTTTATGCTTAATGTAAACCCTTTGACTTAATCCTAGGCAATTTTGCATTATATTTGCCTGGTAACTCTAATTTGTTGCAATATTTTAAACACTTACATATCAACTAAACTTCTCAAAGCAATTTCTCATATATATTTTCCATATAGATAAACATTAATGTTTGTCACACAGGGATATTAAAAAAATCAAGAAAGAATTTTTTCCTGCAAAAAGTTCTTATTTTCTAACGGAATGTATTAAAAAACAAGCTCATAAACCACATAGTTTTTACATAACTTTGATGCATGATGCATTATCTATTGAACAAAGTCGTAAAGGAAAATGTTGTTATTTGAATTTCAGTAGTAAACATCCTTTGATTTTTACCGGATGATGTGAAACATTGGAAGAGTAGTCATGAACTTATCTTCTGCTAACAGATTTCCTTTTAGAAGGGATAGTGAGGAAAAATATATCTAACAACGCACACAAGATAGTGATTATTTTCCTGTTTGGTATGAAGCAACATAACACTTGAAACTATTTTAGAACATTTACATGTACTATCCATATCCGTCATTTCATTTCTTGCATTATGAACTTTTAAATATACATATACGCCATATACGAAAACATATATTAAATCTTATTTTAAGAGGAAAATATGTATTGAAGAGTGTGTTGATAACCGCTATTACTTCATCAATTTGACTTTATCTCGGGTGTAGTTTTTAATATGACGTCATCGGTGTAGTTTTTAATATGACTTCAAACGGAATAATTCATTGTTTTTTCTATAAAACTTCATTAGTTCTTTTTAATTTGACGTCACATTAATAACTTTGGATAAAGTTATCAACATGAGAGTAGTGTTCAATATGATTCTTCGGTTGTAGTATTGAATGTGGCTTAATCTGGTGGAAAGCAAAATACACATAACTTTAATAAGTTAAATTCCATGCCATGCCTAAAATTGACAGCATTACACTAGTGGATCAGGATACTCCAGGAGCACATGAGTGCCCCCCCCCCCCCCCCCAGTTCTTTACTAGGTTCATTTTGTTCGGACTTTGTCGCCTTTGTTTACCGGAAAGATCTAGAATTGCAATCTCAGTTTTCACTTTAATCTTTTGGAGATACTGTTCGTTGAAGATATACACTACGTTTATACTTTTACGTGGTAATATATGTTCCTATACTCATGTATACTGTTAAATCAATAATCATCTCAATATTTACAATAAACATAGTAATTCATCGAGTATAAAGCAACATAACAGGTACCCATGTGGATCAGGATCTGCGTACCCTTCCGGAGCACCAGAGATCAACCCTGTTTATTGTTGGGGTTCGTGTTGCTCAGTCTCTAGTTTTCTATGTTGTGTTTTGTATACTGTTGTTTGTCTTCTGGTTTTTTTTTGCAATGTCGTTGTCATTTTATTTTCGACTTATGAGTTTGAATTTCCATTTTGGTATATTTGGTTCATCTCTGGAATTACAACTGATTATGTAGTTGAAAAACAAACAAGAAAATAGCAGATAATGTTTGCTTAAACTAGAAAAGAAAGAACATTTTTGAACGGGGTTATACATTTCATCATATATACGATAGGCAACCTTTCAAATCATATGACATCCTTACACATATACTGCATACTACCTAACAGCATTTATTATTCCATTTCCGTACCAATTAGTTTATGTAAATTCATTAAAAAAAGGCAAAACTGATGTCAAAGATAGAAGGGTGTCCATACATCCATCCCAATGTACTAATGGTCATAATTTTGCTATTCTATCAATAGAACTCAATCAGTTTTTCTTATTTGAAGCTTTTGTTAAAGTAAGACTTATTATGCATGGAAGTAGGTAAAGCTTTAACAACATTTATGCAAGTACTTGTATTTTGCCAATAATTTTGTAATAATATGACAATACAATTGTATATACAATAAACACAAGTAATGATCCGCATACTTATTGTACCCAGCCCGACGAGTTGCGGGAGACATCGAAATACCTGGCGTTCGTACGGTCTTGTAAGCGTTCTCTTGTATATTATTCTTGCCAGATTTTTATGAAATTCATATCAAAGGTTTGTATCAGCAATGTTCGGACTAGATCGAAAATCAATGCCCATCAGCTATTTCTTTCATTAGAAATGCCACTTGAAAATATTGATTATAAGAATAAAGGTATTGCAAGCGTTCTCTTGTGTACCATTCTTGCCAGATTTTACATGAATTTCATATCCAAGGTTTATATCAGCAATGTCTCGGACAAGTTAGAAAATCAGTGCCGAGTTATGGACCTCGAAAATATTGATTATACGGAAAATTGCATTATGAGCACTCTTTGTCCTACATTTTTCTAAGATATCTATATAAAGGCCTAAAGAACAAATACACAATTCCGTTTGAGTTATTGCACTTGCAGAAATAAAATATGTGCAACACACAGGATATTGGAACTCTGTTCTTTTATTTGTATGGAAAAAAATCTTTATTGCTAATAAAGTGTAA